ATTTTAATTCCACAATTAATAAAGCTTTATGCCGTATACTGTACATACAAAACACTATCTAAACTCAAACGGCACAGTATTAGTAATTCATAGTTCGCCTTCCTGGATCCTTGGACCTCCGCCCTGCCAAACCCGTGGACTTCCGGATGCCTCTTCGCCAAGGATTCCACACACTAACTCCCTGGGAATCGCGGCGTACAGTCACATTGGGCATCGGATGGACGCGTGGATTGTGCGGTGGATCGGGATCAGGATGGATGGAAGTGCACAATCGCACTGGGATGTTGCAGGATGGATTGCTTACATTGGCACGGCCAAGCATCGTTCGTGGGGTGACGTGTGGGAGTAGGATCACACGCCGGATGTACGTACGGATGCTGACTGTCCGCCTTCCACCTGCAATATAACAGATAATCTAGTCAATCTCTTCTGTGATTTGCTGTTCTCTTTTACTAGCGGTGTATATGATGTCATAACGCGAAGTCTATATAAGTTCTTGTTACTTCTAATATCGGCATCAGTAGTCTGAGATTTACTTCTGAGACTGTTTTCTAATTACAATTTCCTAGCGTTGTGAACTGTGATGTGAATTGGATAAAGAGACAGCAATACTTGTTCCTACTGAAGTGCATAGTTGTTCCCGGATTATCGCTTAGTATACAGGTTTGCTCGTGACACAATCGTCCTAGCTCTTGCCGATCCTCACAGGACTTACGACCGGAGATTATAGTTGGACTATCGTTTAGGGATTCCTGACTCGTGTTCCTGAATCGTTCGTCATTTCTCCACCATAGTTCTTCTGTTACAGTTTGAGAGTACGAGTGCCTACCGACTGACAATTACAGGCGTGGAAGAGTAAAGATTGTTCATGGAGCCTTAATCGGCGTGAACGCTTATACACGACAGACGGCAAACTGCAGCACGGCGACGTCATCAACGTGGCGCATAATGGCCTGATCACTGATTTCCGCTGCGCATCACAGCGCGCCCTCTTCGTCGAATACGGATGCATCTTCCACTGCAAGAGAAACATGGAAATCCCGAGACAGGAGGTGCAGGTACTGCTGCCTCGCCGTCCGGACGGCGCGTGGATGTGGTACGCGGGCAGCCGGGTGGAGGATGTTGCCCTTGATTATGCTGAATGTGTGGAAGTGCGTGGTCCTCAGGGGATTTGCAAGGAACTGCTGCCCTGGTATCACGTACGCCCAGTCCCGTCAGCGGCGGATCTGGAGCAGTGGCGTGTGGGCCCGGGGGATTTTGTTGTTCGTTCTTGCCCGCTGCCTGTGCCCCACTGGGCGGGGGTGCCGCAGAAAGTCGCGGCGAACTTTCGCTGCGAATTGTTCCGACGATGCCGCGCGCAGTATATCTCGGTGGAAAGTCAGACGCTTAGTTATCTGCAGCGTCACGATGATGGCCTTCCAGTGTCCCCTGGAGCAGTGGTACGTTTTTCTGTTCTCCTAAGCTTTGTTTTACCTACGGAGTTTTCACAAAAAATTTGGCTCTAATGGAAAACTGTTGCTGTGATGCAAGTATGTTGTTTATTTAAGCACTTTTTCTTCATGATGGTGATGAGGGCGAACAAGAGCGGTGACGATGACCTGTCACTGGGGTCGCAACAAGGACTACGTTCGGTAGCGATTAGCAGCGAGCTGAGGCCGAAAAAGAAGCGAAAGCTATCGGACGGTGGCGACTACGGATTACCCTTGCCGATTGAGCTGCTGGTGGAGGTGTATCAATCGCTGGACTCCATCAACCGTATCCGCTGTCGACGTGTCTGTTGGCTGTGGAACACCATTCTCACGACGGAATCACACTTTCGCGATGTGCGCGTATCCGGCAGCCCCACGGATTATGATGGTATGCATTTCACCAATCGCGGCGTTTATTGGCCAGCAGTCTGCTTGCTGAAATACCTCGGCAATTCCACCACAACAGTCATTCTTCACAAGCTCGGTACATGGAATTGCCAACAACTGACCCAGCTCCTGGCCCGCCTTCGCCAGGACGTCCGGCGTCCGCCGCTGCTGGTGCTATCCGAGTGCGATGTGGGTCATTCTTTTAGTGATGCTAAGTCCGTTATCAGCAACGCAGCTCAGCTGGCGGTGGACGGTTGCTGCGAGCGAATGGTGTGGAGAAAATGCCGCTTCTACGATTCTCTGCTGCAGGCGGCTGTAGCGCAGCACGCCTTTAATGTTCAGTCGCAGGAGCAGCTGGAAGTGGAAATGTGGGATCTCTTCGAGTGTAGTTTGGTAATGGAGAAGCCGCTGAATCGACCGGCCGTCGGCAAGTGGATTGCTGACTGTGTGGCACACCAGCGGAACGATAACATTGAGTTAACATTACGGGTGCGTAGTGCGTACTGACATATGCGGAAGTCGCACCGCGGCAACGCACGCGATGACCAGCCATAACCACAGTCGGTAGACTTCGGGAGTGGTTTTTTGTTTTACTTTTATTAGATACAAGTTACCCACCGAAGCCAGGACATACAATCTCAAAGCCAGACGTAATACCACCAGGCTATGGGCAATTAGCATTAAATATTTGGTTATTATTATTGCAACTACAGTAGCCACAGGCGGCGGCGGCTGCCACACTGAATGGTGGCTGATGAAAAATTAAGTGGCGACAAGAACTGAGCGCATAATAATGTGTTTTATAATCACTACCCGTAGCCTATAAAATAGCGCTTGCAGGTAGCAGTCTTGTGACGCGCTGCTACCATACTCGATTGTTAGAAATTAGTTTAAACGCGTAACTGGTTCGACTAGGTTCTTCGGGATTACCAGAGTGCGGATCCGCGTCCCTCCACGCGCTACCGCGGTCTAAATTGGACAGCATCCACTCTGGCCCATGTGGACGCTACTCAGCTGACGAAATTGACGGCGGTGATCCTGCACCAGCGCCTGCCACAACTTGCGGCACAGTTGAAGAAATGCCGGAAGCAACTCGCCATTTGATTGCTGATCCACCGCCGAAAGCCAGCGTCACTGACCCCTGCATTCCGCCAACCCGCAACATCGTCACAATACAGACTTCCTGCTCAGTATCGCTTTACATGTTATCAAACCCGATCCAATGCCACGGAGCAGCGAATTTTCCGTAATCCGTTTCGTTTTTTTTTCATGAGCGGTTACCGTTTCGTTTAAATTCAAATAGTAGGTTTTTTCGACCGGTATTGTGCATTACAGTCAATTACAGTTATCTCAGCTATGCTTTACAGTTACCATAAGATTTTTAACTATGCCTATAGTTGCTGATCATCATTTTTACAAATATTGTGACTGAATTATCGGCGCGAGCAAGGAACTGCCGATGAATTTGAACGTATTTGTTGCCGGAATCAAAAAGCGAAAACGTAAAATGCCGAGTAGCAGTCGCGAGCGGTGGAAGATCGGTAGGTGCAATATTTTTTCGAGCTCAGAATCCAACATTTAGCCAGCAGAGGCCGAGTAATACTAACCACTACAGTCGGCGTTTGATCGCCGTTAGTGCTTAGTTGCTTACTACAACGAGAAAAGGTCACGTCAACCGTGCATTGCACGGGCTGCTTGCGAAAGCGATGGTTACATTCACGTTCACAACTTGTAAACAAATCAACAGTTCCACTCATCTTTGCCATCAATATCACAGCCGAGTGCAGATTTGTCCAATACAGGTGGTAGTGGGGCAATCCTGTTTTCGTGCGCTCTCTTGCAAAGCCGTACGCAAGTCGTATAAGACATCACAGTCCTATAATATCTGTGGTATATTTGCATATCACGAGATTATTGGCATATCGTGAAAGTCACGATACAAACGATGACTTAGCAACTGTGCGTTATTTCCTGTTGCTGTGTCTTTAGATATTGTACTTCTCATTTAGTTGTTATCTTGTACTAGTCGTAAAACGGTAATACTTATTAAAGTATTAGCCCGTACTTGGAGACATCACAATTTAACATCTATTTAAACTGCATGAATAATACATTAATGGCAGTTGTGTGGGAAGACGTGCATGGTAGTGATTACTAGTGAGTCGACGAAGCAGGTGTGAAGTCGAAGTTGGACGTAGAAATAATGGTGTTCTACTGTATACGTATGGCCGGCATGGGTATACCAGAGGTCGTTCTTTTGATGTTTATAGGAAGGCAAGGTTTTACGGATCTGGTGGTGGTGTCGCTTTCGCTGTTCCCAAACCCCTAAAAGCACAGAACAGGAAATCCCCAGAAACAGCAAATAGGAGGTCAGGAATCAGGAGGGTGGAGCTGCCCGCCCTGACAACACAAGTACAATCAATGTTTTCCGGCAGTTTTTTACCGTTTACTAGATTTCTTTTTTACTCGTTAATCGAGTAATTTTTATCAGCACACAAATGATTAATGGTGGGCTCAACAAACCGATTTCTTTAGCTAACCGGATCATTGAGACTGGAGTCACTGGACGCACTAGATGCACTACTGACTACTGACTTACCAATCGAAATTTGGCAGCGTATTTCTCAGTACCCACAATTTTCAACAATTTGCAGTGCATTCTCGTCGCATCACTTCCTGAGCACGCAGATGGCACTTAACGGGATTAAAGGATCACTTGTCTCTCCGCCACTTATCCGTCCAGTGACACTGTTTCGTGGTTTCCGCCTCGGTGGAAGCGTACATCCACAGCAGGATGCTTGCCTGACATTAAGCGTGCACCGTGGCAGGCATCAACGGTTATTCCAAGTGGAAAGCCCCAGTTAACACTGCCTGGGTGAATATCGATTGCAGAATTCCTGGTACTGCTGATCTATTACGCAGCTGAGCGACGCGATACCTTCCTGCAGTTTCTAGCGCAAGCCACGCTCCCTTTGCTATGTCAGCTTGGGACTGTTATTACGGAATTAAAACCTCGTTCTCATGACAAATTGTATCCGTTAGTTTCGTTTCAGCGTTTAAAAGTCTGAAAAGCTGAAGCAGCTCTGCCGCGTCTCGGTGTATTACTGCATTTTTCGAAACCAATCCGTATTTGGGACGAGCACCATGAACGCTACCTATTATAACATCACGAACAACGCTAACACTGGCACTGTATCGTCCACCGCAGTGTGGAATTACGCGCTTATCACCCGCATGACCTTGTTCATCCTGCAAGTCTCTTTTAATACGTTCATGCTGCTCTTCCTCGTCTTGCAGAAATCCCTGCGCACCGGCTTCAGCGTGTACCTCATTGGTCTGCTGGCGGCCAATATCTTTTACGCTTTCGGGCAGTTTCCCGTGGAAATTGTGCAGCCACTGTTCGGGGGTTGGTGGATGTCCAGAGCCGTCTGCAGTTACTACATATACCATGTCTGGGTGTTTGTCAGCGTGTCCATGCATATGCACGTTCTCATCACCGTGAATCGCTTGTGGGCGCTGACCTTTCCCTTGTCGTACCGCAACCGGCACACCACCAAACTCGCCTGTCTGCTTTCTGTCGGTATGGTGGCGTATGTGCATATCGTATGTTTGCCGTTGTTCCTTCTCGATGAGCTGTATTACCGCCTGCCGCCGGAAGGAGAAGCAGGCTGCCAGTTAAATACGGATAAACAGCCGTTGTACTCGGCTATAGAAAACATCGTGTCGTGTGATTTGCCTATCGTAATCGTCGTTTTTTCGTACCCTTACCTTCTGTACAAATTTCTTCGCCGGCGACGGACAAAAACTGCAGCAGCGGCACCGCCGCTCGCCGTTCCCGCAGACGGACCCATTAACCAAGCTGTCGTGAACACGGTATGTACGTAGTCGGTCAACGTGAAGGCATTACAACGATGCTCTTAAAGCATCTCAACTTTAACTGCTTATACAGCGCTTCCCGGGAGCAGACGACTGTTCAGGTTAGAAAAGGATTCCAGGTTATGAAGCAGCTATGATTACGATTACCAGAAGCGAGAAACACTTCACTGTGCGGCCAGATTGCAGGCCTCAAATTTACTTTGTTTTAGAACATCCCGTACGAACGGAAGCAGAAACAAAACTGAAATCAGGTTTAGAAATAGAATGGGCAGATTCCGATAAATGTGCCCAGTCGGAGCCAGTCGTGCTACCCTCATGGTCAACTGATCAGAACAGACAGTCACAACATGGTGAACCGCTTAGACAACATTCGTCCGCCTTACTATATATTATGAAAACCACGTAGCACACAAGGAGTACCACGGTAATTCTTCTTCAGAAAGCCACAACAACAACAACAACAACCGGCACCAACCAAAAGAAGGACGGCGGCGTTCGTCCTTTCCTGATCTTAACGCTGCTGACGTGCAGTGTGCTGATATGCTGGACGCCGAATCAACTATACTGGACAATGAACAGCTTCATGGACGTCTCTGGTTTAATCCAGCTGGAAAACATCGCGTTGCTGCTGTATCCGCTTCAGGCGATTTTGGATCCGATTGTGTTTGCGCTGTCTTTAAACACCGTTCGCTTGGCTCTTCTACAACTGTGGAATAAAACTGCCGCTTATATTGGACATCGTGCGTAACTTCTTGGAGCCGCTCAAAATACTGGCACCTGCAGCGCGCTCATGGGTTCCATTTTGGTTCGCTACTTTTTTATGTACATGTAGGTTGCTACATGACTTTATTATTGTACGTTTTCTTTCATATTAGTTTGCGTACCGCCTGAAGAATTTGTTCATGAATAACTCACGAAACTGCGCAGAGCTGCCCACACAGCTGCGCTCTGCTAGCTTTTCAGGGAATTGTGGCTGCATTGGAGCAGCATAATACTCTTATAAATCAGTCATTATTATGATAATATATCACCTAGCCATACTCAAATCAGTTTCCTATTTCTGGTGGTTCCTTTGGAAGCGCTGCCTCCTGCTGGCAAGAAGTTGTACACCGACAATAAATTCATCTTATTAACGCAGCGTTTGTACCCGACAACAGGAAAAAATAACGGTGCTCTAATGCAATATGGTAGCGGTAGTATTTACACAACCCAGTTATGGTCCATCGTATAATATTATTGCATCATGAATATCTCTCCATTTTAACGGCTAGCTATTTTTCTCTGGACTTTGTAGAATTCAGTCTTGAATTTGCTTGCTGCAGCTTATGCTCCTCCTTGCCTAATTTCTTGCTCCAAACCTTGCTCCGTTTCCTGTATTACCTATGCTTTAACGAATGCCCTAGCAAACTGTTTTTCTGCCAAACAGTCCAGAGAATTTTCCTCGGATCAGCTATAACTCAGCAGAAGATGCGTAAAATTTTCAGCTTGAATGTAATATCGCGCTGGCATGATGGCATCATATAGTGACAGCGTTGTCAGTGGGATGACCAAGTACAATCTGTTAAGGACCGCCTTACTTGCGACCGGTGACAGTTTCAGAAGTAAATTTTAGCAGAAACTTAATTTCCTGTTATCGGGATTCCACGAAACGGCCCAGTCACTGAGCGCAGTATGCTGTACGCTTGTTATCCCAAGGAAATTCTCGTGTGTGGACCACACGCAGCAGTGCAACTGAATGGACTTCGGATTATGCAACATATAATTGATTGAAGTTTGTGGCATTCTCCCCTTGGGATCGGGTTTGTAAGACATTTTGGCAAGTGATGCGGTAAACATAAGGGTTGCAATAAACATCCCTTGTTTTCAATCCTGTGATTATAACTATAATTGTTAATCGAATCCGGTTTGTATGGAAATTGTCGAATTATTTGTTTCGAGAGTTTCTGTGCGCTGAGGTGACAATTTCTGGCCTTGTATTAGTTCAGCGGAAATGGTGCTGCCCAGTAAACGCTTCTGCCTTTCTTTGAGTAGCAGTTATCGCTTTACATTAAACTTTCTATGAGGTACACTTGAATGAACCAATGTCATCCCAATCGGAGCCACTCAAGTAATTTTGTTTTTCAGTTGAGAGCGCTCTCTCCCGCACCGTTACCGTTGCGTTTCCTAAGAACAAAACATGTTGCGAGGCGGGTGTTTGCGAGGCAACGCTACAGCGTTGCAGCGTACGTATTTTACGTATTTATCGAATAACAAATTATATCGAAAAATAAGATGATTGTAATTGGCAGGCTTTTACAATCAACTGGAAATCCTGCCGTCCTTTCAAAGATATTCTTTAGGTTGACATCATATTGCGTAAACGGGTCCAGTCAGCCGTAAGTCCGCATTAACCCAATAATAACTAGTAAATAACGATTAAATTTTAACTTTCACGTAGTGTACCGGCGCTTGCAATCATTGTTATCTTGGCGGCTATTGCCCAATAAATTTATTCTAGTAAATAACGATTGTACTTGGCAAGTCAGTGATATTCGTTGAAACCAAGCGGATAATGGATAATTCCTAGTACGACTGGGCAGTCCCCGCTGATCATCTGGTACGCCGGTAACCTTTCGTTGTTTTTTACGAGAGATTATATAATGTACTCCAGTGTGACGTGACACTGAGTTCCGGAATTGGAATTTACGGAGATAATGTAATAACATCCAGCAGAAGCCATCTGTGCAGGAAGCAGTAAGCAGTGTTTACAGCCCAACATTCTTCTGCGTTCCTGCAACCTGCAAGCAGTTTCCGGTTTCTAGTATTTATAACGGAGCGCAAAATATTATCGTGTTTATTAGGTTTTCTTGGTATTCGTCTTTCTTGGTATCGTGTTGAACTTTATTCAGGAGCTCAAAAGTCGGACCATATCACGGAAATGGACCTATATTATGATCGGCCTCCCCGAAAAAATCCAGAAAACAAAACCGGAGCGGAAAAAAAAACAGAAAACAGCCCACTGAGCTCAGCATGGTCGAAAACCATTTCCCATGAGCTTGTTTTCTGAAATGTTCAGAGCTTACTTACTGCACGGTTGCTTGGAGTAAGCTTTACGAACGAATACTTTAAACATACTACCAGGAACTGCATAATCTCTCGATACACGAGCGAGAAATATTAAGAAAGTGGACTTATTACACAGGGAGACAAAACGAGCAGCTTTCACAAATCGCTAACAGTAGCAGCAAAAGTAACGTTAAAAAACTGTACTTTATTTCATAACTAAACCAATATCGGCTAGGCCACAGTCATGTAAAATTTCAGAGAACAGTAAACGCAGTGGCGAATTTAAAGGGGGTCTAACAGGGGATGAACGGCTAGTTCACCCCTGTGCGCGAACAGAAACGGAAACTGAACGCCAACACACTGCACACTTTATCGCTCTCTCGTACAACACATCAAAGGCCACCGCAGCACCTTGCTGCGGGGCAAAAAGGAAAAAGCATCCAGCTCAGACGACGAAATCTAGCAACTGAAAAATCTACCAGATTTAGAATCTGGTAGATGGAGAAAAACACGGCAAAAACAGCAAAACAACCTAGCAGCCGCCTGTGCGCGGGTGAACGGAGAGGCCACTCCTCCTCACATGCCTGCGGGTGGATCCCATGAGGTCCTCCGAATGCATCGCGCGGCGTCGCGAACTCCCCTCCATGTCTTCCCGGGCGTCCTTGCTGCCCATTGGGGCTTTAAGCCTCAGCTCGTCCGTCCACACAGATGATGCGCATCCTTCACACTGCAGGCACGGGCCGTGCCTGCGGTTCTGGAAAAGCGGACACATGCAGTGTAAGCACCTTGCTTAAAACGCACCTTCGCGTAAAAACTGCATCCGCTGACGTCACCGGTGCCTGCGGTACTGGATAGACGTCACATACGGCTGGCTTCACATCGGCTCGGCTCACGGTTCGCTTCGGTACGGCTTGATTCCGGTCCACTTTGACCTGCTTTGCGTTGTCTGGGTCAATGCACTGGCTGCAACGACATCCAGCGTCCAACCAGGAAATGGGTGAATTCCATTCTTTTTTCAGTAGGAAAGGTCACGTTCTGAGGAAAATCGGGCAGGGGTTTGTGGCATTGGAACGCTGGTGACCCTGCAAACACCAAAATACGATTCTTCGGTGGGGAAATTCCTCTGCATCCGTCCGGGAAAGGTCGTCATCCCAGGAAAAACGGGCAGAGGTTTGGGGCTATCTGACACTGGTGACCCTGTGGGGCAGCTCACTGGTACTTCTGCGATGGCAGGGTTCACGTGGGCTTCGGTGAATGGCAGTCCTGGAGCTGCTACGGACTGGAGTTGGCCTTGTCGTCGCTGGCTGCTGCTGACATCATCCTTCACGTCCTTCTTCACCCTCTCCATCACCGCGCTTCGCGATGTGGTATTCCTCCGGCCTCCGGCGGGGGTCATTCCTCCCGTCCATCGTCGTATCCGGGGCTGCCGCTTCGGCAAAGTGAACTTTCACTAGGGGCGTCAGACGTCGCACTTGGGGCTCGAAAGGGTGCACATGGTTCTTCCGAGATCTGCTACCATCTAACAGGGGATGAACGGCTAGTTCACCCCTGTGCGCGAACAGAAACGGAAACTGAACGCCAACACACTGCACACTTTATCGCTCTCTCATACAACACATCAAAGGCCACCGCAGCACCTTGCTGCGGGGCAAAAAGGAAAAAGCATCCAGCTCAGACGACGAAATCTAGCAACTGAAAAATCTACCAGATTTAGAATCTGGTAGATGGAGAAAAACACGGCAAAAACAGCAAAACAACCTAGCAGCCGCCTGTGCGCGGGTGAACGGAGAGGCCACTCCTCCTCACAGGGGGTTACAGAGTAATGCGAGAGAGTGGAGTGGAAGTAGCGCGAGTGCGCGATGGGCGTGGCCCGACAAATGGTCATGGACCTGGAGGCCGTGGCGAGAGGCCGAAATGGGTGAAGCCAGGGGCCGCCCCCATGAGAAACCTGAAATGCTGCTAATTTTTTCGACCGAAGTCTGCATTCAAAAATAATGGCAAATGCAATAAAAATGGCAACTGATACCAAGTCTAGCTTGCAGTTTTGCTGTGCTACGCTGTGCAGCGGTGTTCAAATCGTCTTTTCAGTCGTTAGGTCTAGATCGTCTGGTTCCCTCCCTGCTCCCTATAAAAAGACACAGGAGAGGGCAAAGTGGAACAGACTGGACAAAATTTCTCTCGTCTGCATGGTCGGAGAAATCAGGGCAACAAAGCACGCCAAGAACATAGCAACCAAAGCAAACAGCTGAGCTTGTGGTAAATGTTTACTTGTGCAAGCTATACGCCATTTGCCTATGAGCTTAAGGAAACCATTATTAAAGTGGAATAAGTAGAATAATCTTGCTCTCCAAAACAGCCCTTTCTGTCTGTCCTCTATTCAACTTGACTACGGTTTAGCTACTTACTTCACTCCATAGCAAAGAAGTTAATTATATAGAAGCCAAACCTGCACACGTTTTTGTTATTTGCGTTGTTGCGTGGGTTTCTTCTTCCCTGTATTACTCATTCACGATAAAGGTTATCTTTCTTATACGCTCTCCTCTCGTGCTGCACAGTTTCATTTGCGAAAATAACCCGATTTCCACGTTGCTTGAGAATGCTTGTCTACAAAGGCGATGTTTTCGTGTGGAATGCCGTGGACGTCCTGGTCGACGGCCAACTGCAGCACGGTCACATCATCAACGTGGCGGACGGTGGATTGAT